ATGATACTAGCAACCCTCCCACGCCCTTGCTGGCTTGGCAATAGGCCCAGACAAGCACAGCCACGTGACCCGGCGGAAGAAAAATGCTCGGAACGAGCGCTTCCAGCCCAAAAAACGCGGAAGGATTCGCACATGTGCAGGAAGTGCAGCGGGCACTCTTCATTCGCGAGCACCGATGACCGATGATGCTCGCAACCCTCCCATGCCCTTGCTGGCATGGGAATAGGCCCAGACAAGTGCAGCCATGTGACCCGGCATTAGAAAAACGCTCGGAACGAGCGCTTCCAGCCCCAAAACGCGGAAGGATCTGCACATGTGCAGGAAGTGCAGCAGGCGCTCTTCATTCGCGAGCGCCGATGACCGATGATGCTTGCAACCCTCCCACTCCCTTGCTGTCTTGGCAATAGGCCTAGGTAAGCGCAGCCATGTGACATGGCAAAAGAAAAAACGCTGGGAACGAGCGCTTTGAGCCCCAAAATGCGGAAGGATCTGCACATGTGCAGGAAGTGCAGCGGGCGCTCTTCATTCGCAAGCGCGGATGGCCGATGATACTAGCAACCCTCTCACGCTCTTGCTAGCTTGGTAATAGGACCAGAAAAGCGCAGCCACGTGACCCGGCGGAAGAAAAACACTCGGAACGAGTGCGTCCAGCCCCAAAATGCGAAAGTATCTGCACACACATGTGCAGGAAGTGCAGTGGGCGCTCTTCATTCGCGTGCGTCGATGATCGATGATGCTCGCAACCCTCCCACGCCCTTGCTGGGTTGGCAATAGGCCCAGACAAGCGCAGCCACGTGACCCGGCAGAAGAAAAACGCTCGGAACGAGCGCTTCCAGCCTCAAAACGCGAAAGGATCCGCAGATGTGCAGGAAGTGCAGCGGGCGCTTTTCATTCGCGAGCGCCGATGACCGATGATGCTCGAAACCCTCCCACGCCCTTGCTGGCTTGGCAACAGGCCCAGACAAGTGCAACCAAGTTGCCCCTGCAAAAGAAAATCGCTCGGAACGAGCGCTTTGAGCCCAAAAACGCGGAAGGATCCGCACATGTGCAGGAAGTGCAGTGGGCGCTCTTCATTCGCGAACGCCGATGACCGATGATGCTCGCAACCCTCCCACGCCCTTGCTGGCTTGCCAATAGGCCCAGAACGACAAGTGCAGCCACGTGACCCGGCGGAAGAAAAAAGCTTGAAACGAGCGCTTCCAGCCCCAAAACGCGGAAGGATCCGCACATGTGTAGGAAGTGCAGCGGGCGCTCTTCATTTGCGAGCGCCAATAACCGATAATGTTTGCAACCCTCCCACGCCCTTGCTGGCTTGGCAAGAGGCCCAGACAAGCGCAACCACGTAACCCGGCGGAAGAAAAACGGTCCGAACGAGCGCTTCTAGCACAAAAACGCGGAAGGATCCGCGCATGTGCAGGAAGTGCAGCGGGCGCTCTTCATTCGCGAGCGCCAATGACCGATGATGCTCGCAAACCTCCCACGCCCTTGCTAGCTTAACAATATGCCCAGACAAGCGCAGCCAAGTGACCTGGCGGAAGAAAAATGCTCGGAACGAGCGCTTCCAGCCCCAAAACGCGGAAGGATCCGCACATGTGCAGGAAGTGCAGGGGGCGCTCTTCATTCGCGAGCGCCGATGACTGATGATGCTTGCAACCCTCCCATGCCCTTGCTGGCTTGGCAATAGGCCCAGACAAGCGCAGCCACGTGACCCGGTGGAAGAAAAACGCTCGGAACGAGCGCTTCCAGCCCCAAAACATGGTAGCATCCGAACATGTGCAAGAAGTGCAGCGGGCGCTCTTCATTCGCAAGCGCCGCCCAATCAAGCGCAGCCACATGACCTGACAGAAGAAAAACGCTCGAAACGAGCGCTTCCAGCCCCAAAACGTGGAAGGATCCGCACATGTGCAGGAAGTGCAGTGGGCGCTCTTCATTCGCGAGCGCCGGTGACCGATGATGCTCGCAACCCTACCACGCCCTTGCTGGCTTGGCAATAGGCCCAGACAAGCGCAGCCACGTGGCCCCGGCAGAAGAAAATCGCTCGGAACGAGCGCTTCCTTTTAAAAAACGTTGAAGGATCCGCATATGTGCAGGAAGTGCAGCGGGCGCTCTTCATTCACGAGCGCCGATGACCGATGATGCTTGCAACCCTCCCACGCCCTTGCTGGCTTGGCAATAGGCCCATACAAGAGCAGCAATGTGACCCGGCGGAAGAAAAACGCTCGGAACGAGCACTTCCAGCCCCAAAACGCGGAAGCGTCCGCACATGTGCACGAAGTGCAGCGGGCGCTCTTTATTCGCGAGCGCCGATGACCGATGATGCTCGCAACCCTCCCACGCCCTTGCTGGCTTGGCAATAGGCCCACACAAGCATAGCCACGTGATCTGGCGGAAGAAAAACGCTCGGAGGAGCGCTTCCAGCCCCAAAACGCGGAAGGATCCGCACATGTGCAAGAAGTGCAGAGGGCGCTCAAAATTCGTAAGCGCCGCCCAGACAAGCGCAGTTAGATGACCCGGCAGAAGAAAAACACTCGAAACGAGTGCTTCCAGCTCCAAAACGCGAAAGGATCCGCACATATGCAGGAAGTGCAGCGGGCGCTCTTCATTCGCGAGCGCCAATGACCGATGATGCTCGAAACCCTCCCACGCCCTTGCTGGCTTGGCAATGGGCCCAGGAAAGCGCAACCAAGTGGCCCCTACAAAAGAAAAACGCTCGGAACGAGCGCTTCCAGCCCCAAAACGCGAAAGGATCCGCACATGTGCAGGAGGTGCAGCGGGCGCTCTTCATTCGCGAGCGCCGATGATCGATGATGCTCGCAACCCTCCCACGCCCATGCTGGCTTGGCAAGAGGCCCAGACAAGCGCAGCCACATGACCCGACATAAGAAAAACGCTCGAAACGAGCGCTTCCAGCCCCAAAACGCGGAAGGATCTGCACATGTGCAGGAAGTGCAGTGGGCGCTCTTCATTCGCGAGCGCCAATGACCGATGATACTAGCAACCCTCCCACGCCCTTGCTGGCTTGGCAATAGGCCCAGACAAGCGCAGCCACGTGACCCGGCGGAAGAAAAACGCTCGGAACGAGTGCTTCCAGCCCAAAAAACGCGGAAGGATCCGCACATGTGCAAGAAGTGCAGCGGGTGCTCTTCATTCGCGAGCGCCGATGACCGATGATGCTCGCAACCATCCCACGCCCTTGCTGGCTTGGCAAAAGGCCCAGACATGCGTATCCACGTGGCCCCGGCAGAAGAAAAACGCTCGGAACGAGTGCTTCCATCCTAAAACGCAGAAGGATCCGCACATGTGCTGGAAGTGCAGCGGGCGCTCTTCATTCGCGAGCGCCGATGACCGATGATGCTCGTAACCCTCCCACGCCCTTGCTGGCTTGGCAATAGGCCCAAACAAGCGCAGCCACGTGATCCGGCGGAAGAAAAATGCTCGGAACGAGCGCTTCCAGCCCCAAAACGCAGAAGGATCCGTACATGTGCAGGAAGTGCAGCGGGCGCTCTTCATTCGCGAGTGCCGATGACCGATGATGCTCGCAACCCTCCCACGCCCTTGCTGGCTTGGCAATAGGCCCAAACAAGCGCAGCCACGTGACCCGGCGGAAGAAAAACGCTCGGAACGAGCGCTTCCAGCTCCAAAACGCGGAAGCATCCGCACATGTACAAAAAGTACAGGGGGCGCTCTTTATTCACGAGCGCCGCCCAGACAATTGCAGCCACATGACCCGGCAGAAGAAAAACACTCGAAACGAGCACTTCCAGCCCCAAAATGCGGAAACATCCGCACATGTGCAGGAAGTGCAGCGAGCGCTCTTCATTCGCGAGCGCCGATGACCGATGATGCTCGAAACCCTCCCACGCCCTTGCTGGCTTGGCAATAGGCCCAGACAAGCGCAACCAAGTTGCCCCTGCAAAAGAAAAACGCTTCGAACGAGCGCTTCGAGCCCAAAAACGCGGAAGGATCCGCACATGTGCAGGAAGTGCAGGGGGGGGCTCTTCATTTGCGAGTGCTGATGAATGATGATGCTCGAAACCCTCCCACGCCCTTGCTGGCTTGGCAATATGCCCAGACAAGCGCAGCCACGTGACCCGGCGGAAGAAAAACGCTTGGAACGAGCGCTTCCAGCCCCAAAACGCGGAAGGATCCGCACATGTGTAGGAAGTGCAGCGGGCGCTCTTCATTCGCGAGCGTCGATGACCGATGATGCTCGCAACTCTCCCACGCCCTTGCTGGCTTGGCAATAGGCCCAGACAAGCGCAGCCACTTGACCCGGTAACGCTCGGAACGAGCGCTTCTAGTCAAACACGTGGAAGGATCCGCACATGTGCAGGAAGTGCAGCGGGCGCTCTTCATTTGCGAGCGCCAATGACCGATGATGCTCGCAACCCTCCCACGCCTTTGCTGGCTTGGCAATAGGCCCAGACAAGCGCAGCAATATGACCCGGCGGAAGAAAAACGCTCGGAACGAGCGCTTCCAGCCCCAAAACGCGGAAGGATCTGCAGAAAGTGCAGCGGGCGCTCTTCATTTGCGAGCGCCGCCCAGACAAGCGCAGCCACATGACCCGGCAGAAGAAAAAGGCTCGAAAATTTTGCACATACTAGGCACTTTTTCTTTCATTCTGCACAATTGCACACAATAGATACTTGTTCTAGCAATTTTGCACACACTAGGCAGTTCTTCTTGAAATTTTGCATACACTAGACACTTTTCCTTGCAATTTTCCACACACTAGGCACTTATTCTTGCAATTTTGCACACACAAGGCACTTGTTCTTGAAATTTTGCACACATTAGGCACTTGTTCTTGGAATTTTGCACACACAAGACACTTGTTCTTGCACTTTTGCACACACTATGCACTTGTTCTTGCAATTTTGCACCTAGATAGGCCCTTGTTCTTGCAATTTTGCACACACTAGGCACTTGTTCTTGCCGTTGGAGAAGGGTGATGAGAGTAGGTATAACGACGATGAGAGTAGGGAGAAGGGTGATGAAACTAGGGAGAAGGGTGATGAGAGTAGGGAGAAGGGTGATGAGAGTAGGGAGTAGGGAGAAGGGTGATGAGAGTACGGAGAAGGGTTATGAAAGTAGGGAGAAGGGTGATGAGAGTAGGGAGAAGGGAAAAGGGTGATGAGAGTAGGGAGAAGGGAAAAGGGTGATGAGAGTAGAAAGAAGGGTGATGAGAGTAGGGAGAAGGGTGATGAGAATAGGGAGAAGGGTGATGAGAGTAGGGAGAAGGGTGATGAGAGTAAGCAGAAGGGTGATGAGAGTAGGGAGAAGGGTGATGAGAGTAGGGAGAAGGGGTGTGCAACGAGCTCCTGTCAAGCGCACTGGGGTTGCAACAACCTCCCGGCGAGCGCGCGGGGGTGGAATGACCTCCCGGCGAGTGCGCGGGGGGTGGAACAAGCCCCTGGCGAGCGCGTGGGGGGTTCAACGATCTCCTATCGAGCGCCCGAGCGGTGCAACGACCTCCCGGCAAGCGCGCGGGGGTGCAACGAGCTCCCGGCCAGCGCACGGGGGGTGCAACGAGCTCACGGCGAGCGCTCGGGGGGTGCAACGAGCTCCCGGCGAGCGCGCAGGGGGTGCAATGAGCTCCCGGCGAGCGCGCGGGGGGTGCGACAACCTCCCGGCGAGCGCGCGGGGGGTGCAACGACCTCCCGTCGAGCACGTTGGGGGTGCAATGAGCTCTCGGCGAGCGCGCGGAGGGGTGCAACAAACTCCCGGTGAGCGCGCGGGGGATGCAACGACCTCCCGGCGTGCGCGAGGGGGGTGCAACGACCTCCCGGCGTGCTTGTGGGGGGTGCAACCACCTCCCGTCGAGCACGAGGGGGGTGCAACGACCTCGCGGCGAGCGCACGGGGGGTGCAACGACCTCCCGACGAGTGCGCGGGGGGTGCAACGAGCTCCCGGCGAGAAGGGAGAAGGGTGATGAGAGGAGGGAGAAGGGTGATGAGAGTAGGGAGAAGGGTGATGAGAGTAGGGAGAAGGGTGATGAGAGTAGGGAGAAGGGTGATGAGAGTAGGGAGAAGGGTGATGAGAGTAGGGAGAAGGGTGATGCGAGTAGGGAGAAGGGTGATGAGAGTAGGGAGAAGGGTGATGAGAGTAGGGAGAAGGGTGATGAGAGTAGGGAGAAGGGTGATGAGAGTAGGGAGAAGGGTGATGAGAGAAGGGAGAAGGGTGAAGAGAGTAGGGAGAAGGGTGATGAGAGTACGGAGAAGGGTTATGAAAGTAGGGAGAAGGGTGATGAGAGTAGGGAGAAGGGAGAAGGGTGATGAGAGTATGGAGAAGAATGATGAGAGAAAGGAGAAGGGTGATGAGAGTAGGGAGAAGGGAGATGAGAGTAAGGAGAAGGGTGATGAGAGTAGGGAGAAGGGTGATGAGAGTAGGGAGAAGAGGGGTGCAAGGAGCTCCCATCGAGCGCGCGGGGGTTGCAACAACCTCCCGGCGAGTTCGCGGGGGTTGCAACGACCTCCCGGTGAGTGCGCGAGGGGTGGAACGAGCTCCCGGCGAGCACGTGGGGGGTGTAACGATCTCCCATCGGGCGCCCGGGAGGTGCAATGACCTCCCGACGAGCGCGCGGGGGGGTGACCTCTCAGCGAGCGCGCAGGGGGTGCAATGACCTTCCGGCGAGCGCGCGGGGGGTGCAACGACCTCCCGTCGAGCGCGCAGATGGTGCAACGAGCTCCCGGTGAGCGCGCGGGGGGTGCAATGACCTCCTCGCGAGCGAGCAAGGGGTGCAACGACCTCCCAGCGAGCGCGCGGGGGGTGCAACGACCTCCCAGCGAGCACGCGGGGGGTGCAACGACCTCCCAGCGAGCGCGCGAGGGGTGCAACGAGCTCTCGCGGAGTGCGCGGGGGGGTGCAACGACCTCCCGGCAAGCGCGTGAGGGGTGCAACGACCTCCCGGCGAGCGCACGGGGGGTGCAACAAACTCCCGGCGAACGCGCGGGGGGTGCAACGACCTCCTAGCGAATGCGCGGGGGGTGCAACGACCTCCCAGCGAGTGCGCGGGGGGTGCGACGAGCTCCCGGCGAGCAAGGGGGGGGGGAAAACGAGCTCCCGGCGAGAAGGGAGAAGGGTGATGAGAGTAGGGAGAAGGGTGATGGGGACGAAGGGGGTGCAACGACGTCCCGACGAGCGCGCGGGGGGTGCAACGACCTCCCGGCAAGCGCGTCGGGGGTGCAACGACCTCCCGGCGAGCGCGTGAGGGGTGCAACGATCTCCCGGGGAGCGCTCGGGGGGTGCTACGAACTCCCGGCAAGCTCGCAGAGGATGCAACGACATCCTGGCGAGCGCGAGGGGGGTGCAAGGACGTCCCGGCGAGCGCGCGGGGGCTGCAACGACCTCCCGACGAGCGCGCGGAGGATGCAACGAACTCCGGGCGAGAGCGCAGGGGGTGCAACAACCTCCCGGCGAGCGCGCGGGGGATGCAACGACCTCCCGGTGAGCGCGAGGGGGGTGCAACGTCCTCCCGGGGAGCGCGCGGGGGGTGCAATGACCACCCGGCGAGCGCGCGGGGGGTGCAACGACGTCCTGGCGAGCGCGCCGGGGGTGCAAAGACCTCCCGGCGAGCACACATGGGGTGCAACGAACTCCTGGCGAGCTCGCGGGGGGTGCAACGACCTCCTGGTGAGCGCGAAGGGGGTGCAACGACGTCCCGGCAAGCACGCTGGGAGTGGAACGACCTCCCGTCGAGCGCGCGGGGGGTGCAACGAACTCTCGGCGAGAGCGCGGGGGGTGCAACGACCTCCTGGCGAGCACGCGGGGGGTGCAACAATCTCTCGGCGAGCACGCGGGGGGTGCAACAAACTCCCGGCGAGCACGTGGGGGGTGCAACGACCTCCCGGCAAGCGCGCGGAGGGTGCAACGACCTCCCGGCGAGCGCGCGGGGGGTTCAACGTTCTCCTGGGGAGCGTGCGGGGGTTGCAACGACCTCCCGGCGAGGGCGCGGGGGTTGCAACGACCTCCCGGCGAGCGTGCGGGGGGTGCAACGAACTCCCGGCGAGCACGTGGGGGGTGCAACGACCTTCTGGTAAGCGCGTGGGGGGTGCAACCACCTTCGGGCGAGCGCGCGGGGGATGCAACGAACTCCCAACGAGAGCGCGGGGGGTGCAACAACTTCCCGGCGAGCGCGGCGAGCAGGAGGGGTGTGTAACGTCCTCCCTGGGAGCGCGCGGGAAGTGCAACGACCTCCCGGCGAGCGCCGGGGGGTGCAACGACCTCCCGGCGAGCGCGCGGGGGGTGCAACGACCTCCCGGCGGGCGTGCGGGGGGTGCAACGACCTCCCGGCGAGCGCGTGGGGGGTGCAACGACCTTCCGTCGAGCGCGTGGGGGATGCAACGAGCTTCCGGCGAGCGCGCGAGGGGTGCAACGAGCTCCCGGCGAATGCGCGAGGGTTGCAACGAGCTCCTGGCGAGCGCGCGGGGGGTGCAACGAGCTCCCGGCGAGCGCGCGGGGAATGCAACGAGCTCCCGGCGAGTGCGCGGAGGTTGCAACGACCTCCCAGCGAGCGCTCGGGGGGTGCGGCGACCTCCCAGCGAGTGCGGGGGGGGTGCGACGACCTCCCGTCGAGCGCGCGGGGGTTGCAACGACCTTCTGGCGAGGGCGCGGGGGGTGCAACGAGCTCCCGTCGAGCGCGCGGGGGGTGCAACGACCTACCGTCGAGAACGCGGTGGTTGCAACGACCTCCCGGGGAGAGCCCAGGGGGTGCAACGACCTTCCGGGGAGCGCGGGGGGTTGCAATGACCTCCCGGCAAGCGCGCGGGGGGTGCAACGAGCTCCCGGCGAGAGCGCGGGGGTTGAAACGAACTCCCGGCGAGCGCGCGGGGGGTGCAACAAACTCCCGGCGAGCGCGCGGGGGGTGCAACGACCTTTGGGCGAGCGCGCGGGGGGTGCAACGAACTCCCGGCGAGCGCGCGGGGGGTGCAACGACCTCCCGGCGAGCGCGCGGGGGGTGCAACGACCTCCCGGCGAGCGCACGGGGGGTGCAACGAACTCCCGGCGAGCGCGTGGGGGGTGCAATGACCTTCCGGCGAGTGCGCGGGGGGTGCAACGACCTCCCGTCGAGCGCGCTGAGGGTGCAACGAACTCTCGGCGAGAGCGCGGGGTGTGCAACGAGCTCCCGGCGAGCGCGTGGGGGGTGCAACGAGCTCCCAGCGAGCGCACGGGGGGTGCAACGACCTTATGGCGAGCGCGCGGGTGGTGCAACGAACTCCCGGCGAGCGCGCGGGGGGTGCAACGACCTTCCGGCGAGCGCGCGGGGGGTGCAATGACCTCCCGGCGAGAGCGCAAGGGGTGCAACGAACTCCCGGCGAGCGCGCGGGGGGTGCAACGTCCTCTCGGGGAGCGCGAGGGGGTTGCAACGACCTCCCGGCGGGCGCGAAGGGGGTGCAATGACGTCCCGGCGAGCGCGCGGGGGGTGCAACGACCTCCCGTCAAGCGCGCGGGGGGTGCAACGAACTCCCGGCGATAGCGCATGGGGTGCCACGACCTCCCGGCGAGCGCGTGGGGGGTGCAACGACCTCCCGGCGAGCGCGCGGGGGGTTCAACGAACTCCCGGCGAGCGCGTGGGGGGTGCAACGACCTCCCGGCGAGCGCGCGGGGGGTTCAACGAACTCCCGGCGAGCGCGTGGGGGGTGCAACGACCTTCCGGCGAGTGCGAGGGGGGTGCAATGACATCCCGGCGAGCGCGCGGGGGTGCAATGACCTCCCGTCGAGCGCGCTGAGGGTGCAACGAACTCCCGGCGAGCGCGTGGGGGGTGCAACGACCTTCCGGCGAGAGCGAGGGGGGTGCAACGACATCCCGGCAAGCGCGCGGGGGTGCAACGACCTCCCGTCGAGCGCGCTGAGGGTGCATTGAACTCCCGGCAAGAGCGCGGGGTGTGCAACGAGCTCCCGGCGAGCGCTTGGGGGTTGCAACAAGCTCCCAGCGAGTGCGCGGGGGGTGCAACGACATTATGGCGAGCGCGCGGGTTGTGCAACGAACTCTCGGCGAGCGCGCGGGGGGTGCAACGAACTCCCGGCGAGGGTGTGGGGGGTGCAACGACCTCCCGGCGAGCGCGCGGGGGGTGCAACGACCTCCTGGCGAGCGCGCGGGGGGTGCAACGTCGTCCCGGGGAGCGGGCGGGGGTTGCAACAAACTCCCAGCAATCTCGCGGGGGGTGCAACGACCTCCCGGCGAGCGCGAAGGGGATGCAACGACGTCTCGGCGAGCGCGCATGGGGTGCAACGACCTCCCGGCGAGCGCGCGGGGGGTGCAACGACCTCCCGGCGAGCGCGCGGGGGGTGCAACGAACTCCCGGCGAGCACGTGGGGGGTGCAACGACCTCCCGGCGAGTGCGCGGGGGTGCAACGACCCCCTGGCGATCGCGCGGAGGGTGCAACGACCTCCCGGCGAGCGCGCGGTGGGTGCAACGACCTCCCGGCGAGCGCGCAGGGGGTGCAACGACCTCCCGGCGAGCGCGCGGGGGGTGCAACGACCTCCCGGGGAGCACGCGGGGGGTGCAACGAACTCCCGGCGAGCGCGTGGGGGGTGCAACGACCTCTCGGCAAGCACGCTGGGGGTGCAACGTCCTCCCAGGGAGCGCGCGGGGGTTGCAACGAACTCCCGGCAAGCTCGCGTGGGGTGCAACGAACTCCCAACGATAGCGCATGGGGTGCAACAACCTCCCGGCGAGCGCGCGGGGGGTGCAACGACCTCCTGGCGAGCGCGCGGGGGGTGCAACGACCTCCCGTCGAGCGCGCGGGGGTTGCAACGACCTCCCGTCGAGCGCGCGGGGGATGCAACGACCTCCCATCGAGCGCGCGGGGGTTGCAACGACCTCCCGGCGAGCGCACGGGGGGTGCAACGACCTCCCGGCGAGCGTACGGAGGATGCAACGACCTCCCGAGGAGCGCGCGGGGGGTGCAACGACCTCCCGGCGAGCACGCGGGGGGTGCAACGACCTCCCGGCGAGCGCGCGGGAGGTGCAACGTCTTCCCAGCGAGCGCGCGGGGGGTGCAATGTCCTCCCGACGATCGCGCGGGAGGTGCAACGACCTCCCGGCGAGCGCGCGGGGGGTGCAACAAACTCCCGGCGATAGCGCATGGGGTGCAACGACCTCCCGGCGAGCGTGCGGGGGGTGCAACGACCTCCCGGCTAGCGCGCGGGGGGTGCAACAAACTCTCGGGGAGCGCGTGGGGGGTGCAACGACCTCCCGGCGAGCGCGCGGGGGGTGCAACGATCCCCTGGCGAGCGCGCGGGGGGTGCAACGACCTCCCGGCGAGCGCACGGGGGGTGCAACGACCTCCCGGCGAGCGCGCGGGGGGTGCAACGACCTCCCGGCGAGCGCTCAGGGCGTTCAACGAACTCCTGTGGAGTGCGCGGGGGGTGCAACGACCTCATGGCGAGCGCGCGGGGAGTGCAACGATCTCTTGTCGTGCGCGCGGGGGTTGCAACGACCTCCCGTCGAGCGCGCAGGGGGTTGGAACCACCTCCCGGCGAGCGCAAAGGGGATGCAACGACCTCCCGGCGAGCTGGCGGGGGGTGCAAAGAGGAGCTCGCCAGGAGCTCGTTGCACCTCCCGCACGCTCGCCAGGAGCTCGTTGCACCCCCGCGCGCTCGCCGGGAGGTCGTTGCACCCCCTTCGCAGTCTCCCGCTCGCCGGGAGGTCGTTGCACCCCCCGCGCGCTCCCCGGAAGGTCGTTGCACACCCTGTGCGCTCGCCGGGAGGTCGTTGCAACCCCCGCGCGCTCGACGGGAGGTCGTTGCAACCCCCGCGCGCTCGCCGGGAGCTCGTTGCACCCCAGGCGCACTTGCTGTGAGCTCGTTGCACCCCCCGCGCGCTCGCCGAATGGTTGTTGCACCCCCCGCGCGCTCGCCGAGAGCTCGTTGCACCCCCCCGCGCGCTCGCCAGGTGGTCGTTGCAACCCTCATGCGCTAGACGGGAGGTTGTTGCACCCCCCGAGCGCTCGCCGGGAGGTTGTTGCACCCCTCGCATGCTTGCCGGTAGTTCGTTGCACCCCCCGCGCGCTCGACTGGAGGTGGTTGCACCCCCTGCGCTCGCCAGGAGGTCGTTGCACCCCCCGCGTGCTCCCCGGGAGGACGTTGTACCCCCCGCGCGCTCGCCGGGAGGTGGTTTCACCACCTGCGCGCTCCCCGGAAGGTCGTTGCACCCTCCGTGCGCTCGCCAGGAGGTCGTTGCAACCCCCGTGCGCTCGACGGGAGGTCGTTGCAACCCCCGCGCGCTCACCGGGAGCTCGTTGCACCCCACGCGCGCTCGCCGGGAGCTCGTTGCACCCCCCGCGCGCTTGCCGGTAGGTAGTTGCACCCCCCGCGCGCTCGTCGAATGGTCGTTGCACCCCCCGCGCGCTCGAAGGGAGCTCGTTACCCCCCCCGCGCCCTCGCCAGAAGGTCGTTGCAACCCCCGTGCGCTAGACGGGAGGTTGTTGCACCCCCCGAGCGCTCGCCGGGAGGTCGTTGCACCCCCTGCGCGCTCGACTGGAGGTCGTTGCACCCCCCGCGCGCTCGCCGGGAGGTCGTTGCACCCCCCGCGCTCGCCGGGAGGTCGTTGCACCCCCGCGCGCTCGCTGGGAGGTTGTTGCATCCCCCGCGCGCTTGCTTGGAGTTCGTTGCAACCCTCGCGCGCTCGACAGAAGGTCGTTGCACCCCCCGTGCGCTCGCCGAGAGGTCGTTGCACCCCCCGTGCACTCGACGAGAGGTCGTTGCACCCCCGCGCGCTCGCCGGGAGGTCGTTCCACCCCCCGCGCGCTCGCCGGGAGTTCGTTGCACCCCCCGCGCGCTCGCCAGAAGGTCGTTGCACCACCCGCGCGCTCACCGGGTGATGAGAGTACGGAGAGTAGGGAGAAGGTTGATGAGAGTTGGGAGAAGGGTGATGAGAGTAGGGAGAAGGGAGATGAGAGTAGGGAGAAGGCAGATGAGAGTAGGGAGAAGGGAGATGAGAGTAGGGTGAAGGGTGATGAGAGTAGGGAGGAGGGTGATTAGAGTAGGGAGAAGGGTGATGAGAGTAGGGAGAAGGGTGATGAGAGAAGGGAGAAGGGTGATGAGAGTAGGGAGATGGGTGATGAGATTAGGGAGAAGGGATATGAGAGTAGGGAGAAGGGTTATGAGAGAAGGAAGTAGGAAGAAGGGTGATGAGAGTAGGAAGATGGGTGATGAGAGTAGGGAGAAGGGTGATGAGAGTAGGGAGAAGGGTGATGAGAGTAGGGAGAAGGGTGATGAGAGTAGGGAGAAGGGTGATGCGAGTAGGGAGAAGGGAGATGAGAGTAGGGAGAAGGGAGATGAGAGTAGGGAGAAGGGAGATGAGAGTAGGGTGAAGGGTGATGAGAGTAGGGAGGAGGGTGATTAGAGTAGGGAGAAGGGTGATGAGAGTAGGGAGAAGGGTGATGAGAGTAGGGAGAAGGGTGATGAGAGTAGGGAGATGGGTGATGAGATTAGGGAAAAGGGATATGAGAGTAGGGAGAAGGGTGATGAGAGTAGGGAGAAGGGTTATGAGAGAAGGAAGTAGGGAGAAGGGTGATGAGAGTACAGAGAAGGGTGATGAGAGTAGGAACGTCGATGGGTGCTGAGAGTAGGGAGAAGGGTGATGAGAGTAGGGAGAAGGGTGATGAGAGTAGGGAGAAGGGTGATGAGAGTAGGGAGAAGGGTGATGAGAGTAGGGAGAAGGGTGATGAGAGTAGGGAGAAGGGTGATGAGAGTAGGGAGAAGGGTGATGCGAGTAAGGAGAAGGGCGATGAGAGTAGGGAGAAGGGTGATGAGAGTAGGGAGAAGGGTGATGAGAGTAGTGAGAAGGGTGATGCGAGTAAGGAGAAGGGTGATGAGAGTAGGGAGAAGGGTGATGAGAGCATGGAGAAGGGTGATGAGAGTAGGGAGAAGGGTGAGGAGTGTAGGGAGAAGGGTGATGAGAGTAGGGAGAAGGGTTATGAGAGTAGGGAGAAGGTCGATGAGAGTAAAGTAAAGAGTGATGAGAGTAGGGAGTAGGGAGAAGGGTGATGAGAGTAGGGAGAAGGGTGATGAGAGTAGGAAGAAGGGAGAAGGGTGCCGAGAGTAGGGAGAAGGGTGATGAGAGTAGGAAGAAGGGTGATGAGAGCAGGAAGAAGGGTGATGAGAGTAGGGAGAAGGGTGATGAGAGTAGGGAGAAGGGTGATGAGAGTAGGGAGAAGGGTGATGAGAGTAGGGAGAAGGGTGATGAGAGTAGGGAGAAGGGTGATGCGAGTAGGGAGAAGGGAGAATGGAGATGAGAGTAGGGAGAAGGGAGAAGGGAGATGAGAGTAGGGAGAAGGGTGATTGAGTTTGGGAAGAAGGGTGATGAGATTAGGGAGAAGGGTGACGAGAGTAGGGAGAAGGGTGATGAGAGTAGGGAGAAGGGTTATGAGAGGAGGGAGAAGGGTGATGAGAGTAGGGAGAAGGGTGATGATAGTAGGGAGAAGGGTGCTTTTCCCTACGCCTATTGAGATTCCTCCGCTTCCTTAGCATTTGTGGGCAGGCACGGCCGTCATCGCGGGCGCCGAACTTTTCTGTGCGTGCGAACCAATCTGAAGTTGCTCTTGTAGATGTATTTGAACATGGGCCACCCAAATATGCAACAACATTTGGGTCGTTCGATGCTTCTCCCTACGCCTACAGGGATGCATGCGCTTCCCTAGCACTTGTCGGCAGGCACGGCCGTCATCGCGGGCGCCGAACTTTTCTGTGTGCGCGAACCAAGCTGAAGTTGCTCTGGTAGGTGTATTTGAACATGGGCCACCCGAATATGCAACAACATTCAGGTCGTTGGATGCTTTTCCCTACGCCTATAGGGATCCATGCGCATCCTAAGCATTTGTCGGCCGGCACGACCGTCATCGCGGGCGCCGAACTTTTCTGTGCGTGCGAACCAATCTGAAGTAGCTCTGATAGTAGGTGTATTTGAATATGGGCCACCCGAATATGCAACAACATTCGGGTCGTTCGTTGCTTTTCTCTACGCTATAGGGATCCATGTACTTCCTTAGCATTTGTGGGCAGGTACGACCCTCATCACGGGCGCCGAACTTTTGTGTGCGCGCTAACCAAGCTGAAGTTGCTCTGATAACTATGTGTATTTGAACATGGGCCACCCGAATATGCAACAACATTCGGGTCGTTGGATGCTTTTCCCTACGCCTATTGGGGTCCATGCGCTTCCTTAGCATTTGTCGTCAGGCAAGGCCGTCATCGCGGGCGCCGAACTTTTCTGTGCGCGCGAACCAAGCTGAAGTTGCTCTTGAAGGTGTATTTGAACATGGGCCACCCAAATATGCAACAACATTCGGGTCGTTGGATGCTTTCCCCTATACCTATAGGGATCCATGCGCTTCCTTAGCATTTGTCGGCAGGCACGGCCATCTGTGCGCGCGAACCAAGCTAGAGTTGATCTGGTAGGTGTATTTGAACATGGGCCACCCAAATATGCAACAATATTCGGGTCGTTGGATGTTTTTCCCTATGCCTATAGGGATTCATATGCTTCCTTAGCATTTGGCGGCAGGCACGGCCGTCATCACGGGCGCTGAACTTTTCTGTGCGTGGGAACCAATCTGAAGTTACTCTCACAAATGTATTTGGGCATGGGCCACCCAAATATGCAACAACATTCAGGTCGTTCGATGCTTTTCCCTACGCCTATAGGGATCCATGTGCTTCCTTAGCATTTGTGGGAAGGCACGGCCGTCATCGTGGGCGCCGAACTTTTCTGTGCGCGCGAACCAAGCTGAAGTTGATCTGGTAGGTGTATTTGAACATGAGCCACCCGAATATGCAACCTTCATCGTTACATGAGGTGTTGGAGCAGTACAAAGATATCATGCCGGACGACCTACCTGCAAAGGTACCTTCAGCGCGAACCCACGAGCACGTGGAGGAACCAGATGCAAAACCCGTCTCCCGTGAACCATACCGCCTTAGTCCAACCGAACTAATAGACATGAAGAAACAGAGTGAGTACCTACTGGACAGGAAACTGATCTGCCTATCCATCTCTCTCTACGGTACTCCAGTTCTCTTCACTCCAAAGCCGGACGGTAGTTTACAGACGTGCATCGATATCAGGCACTGAACGAACAGAAAATATAAAATAAATACCCCATATTGCGCATAGACGATCTTCTAGACCAACTTCGTGGTGCAACGATGTTTTCGAAGCTGGACCTACGGTCGAGTTACTGGCAGAACACAACTGGATCCACAAGACGACATTCCGTACTAGATACGGCTCCTATGAATACTTAGTGATGCCATTCGGACTCTGCAACGCACCAGCAACATTCCAGGCGGAGATAAACTACATCCTATGGCTCCTGCTGGATGAGTGCATAGAAGCGTACCGGGACGACATTCTCATCTACTCCAAAAACATGAAGGAGCATGTGGAGCATCTGCGGAAATTATTTGAGATTCTTTGGAAAAAAAAAAAACTTCTATATGAAACTGTCAAAGAGCGACTTCGCCGTGAAGAAGGGCACATGGTGAGTGCGGAGGGCGTAAACGTGGACCCGCATAAAATCAAAGTCGTCAAGACGTGGAAAGTTCCTAAAAACATGAAGGAGTTACAGCAGTTCCTAGGCTTCGCCAACTACTACAACAGGTTCGTGCCACAGTACGTAAGATAGCAGCTCCACTGATGAACTTATTGAAAAAGGATACACCCTATAAAAGGGATGCTCCTCAACAGCAAGCCATGGAGCAGCTAGATACAGCACTGACTACAGCGCCAGTACTCATCCTACCGGATCCAGATAGAGACTACGTGGTGGAAGCAGACGCTAGTGACCAGGCAGTCGGAGCAGTACTGATGCAAGATCACGGACGCGGTTTGTAGCTCATCGCTTACCTCAGTAAGAAGCTACATGGAGCTAAACTGAGCTACCCAATCCATGACAAGGAAGCCTTAGCGATAGTTGTCAGAATGTTATTCTCTAGCCTGTAGTGGGGTGCTCTATAGCGAGTACAACCCATCTAGGGTTTGCTATATGTATCCTCATTGCTGCTAGTGAAACCCCTCTTTGCCTAAACTTTCTCTTGCCTAGCTAGGGTTCTCCTAGCTATGGCGCCTTATTCTATCGCCTATCTTCACAATAGTCACGGCCTTCAAGGCATAGAGGTATTACCTAGAGGGAGCCAAGACTACAGTCTATACTGACCAGTACAAACTACAGCCTACGCTCTCACGACGACAGATGCTGTAGACAGACTTCCTGGAAACACACTTCCTCTACGACATCGTCTACAATTCAGTGCTACACAACAAGGCTGACGCATTGAGCCGCCCAGGACATGTGGCAGGCATCCAACTCAATGGGATGAATCCTCTGTTCAAGGGTCTATTCCAACATGAGTACTTTGTGGACACAGAGATCACTACAGCACAGAAACAGAAGCTGTTACAGTGGGAGAAAGATTTAGCTGTGAGGAAGGGTTCAGGAAAGATTTGAGTACCGAACTATGACCCGCTCCGATTGATCTTACTGGAGGAGTTTCACAATGTAAAGACGTTAGCATGAATTGCAAAGTATTTTTTCTGGCCCCGGATGGCAGCAGACATGCAGCAGTTCGTCACCTCATGCGACACATGCCAACGGATGAAGAGTAGCAAATAGAAATAACATGCTCAGGGTTACTTCAGCCTCTACCCGTACCGGAGCAACCATGGAAATTCGTTAGCCTAGACTTCATCACTGGGCTTCCCTCGACCTCACGAGGGCATGAGGCTATACTCGTGGTGATCGATAAATTCTCTAAAATGTGACACTTCTTTTCGACAAACGCCACGGGTACTGCTGAAGCAACTTCTCGCCTCTTCTTCAACCGCATCCCCACTACACTCATCTCAGACAGAGACCCAAAATTCACTAGTAAGTTCTGGAGGGAACTCATGGGATTGTTGGGGACAAAGCTTGCGATGTCTTCAGCGTACCACCCCCAGACTGACGGACAGACTGAGCGAATCAATCAGGTGGTTGAACAGTTAGTGCACACGGCTTGCAAAGATGACATCAGCCACTGGGACCTACAGTTACGAAAGCTTGAGTTCGCTTACAACAACACATCTCATGCGGCCAAAGGGAAATCTCCTTTCTTCCTATGCTATGGATGGGAACTACTGAGACCACAGCAGCCAACCGCACTAGCACACGTCCAAGCCGCACCCGATTTCGTCACCACCATGCATCAGCTATGGGAAAAGACTCAGCAAGGTCTCACCACGATGCAAAATTCCTAGAAGCATTATGCCGATCGACAGCGACTTGATCGCTTGGTAGCAGTCGGAGATCAGATGCTTCTTGGAACACGCAACTTGAATTTGTCTCACCTCCCTTCCAAGCTCTAGCCTCGCTTCTGTGGTCCCTTTTGCATTGAGGATAGAATGACACCAGTAACATTCTGCTTGTGCTTACCTACCGCATGGAAACTTCATAGTGCTTTCCATGTTCAGCTACTGAAGCCCTACAAGGACCCCAACTTATGGCAGCTACCGCCACCCACCCTTGTTCTTGTACAGGATGAACCAGAGTACGAGGTGGAACGCGTTTGCCTAGCTTAGGTTTATTTTATCATGCATGCCTTTGCTTGATTTCCTAAGTTAGGTGCTTTTCTATATTATGCTATAGTCATAGCACCGAACTAGGTTGCGTGCACCGGATTCCAGGCATTTCGGTTGCCACCGAATTGCCTTCTACCGAATTTGGGAAGGCTCCATTCGAAACGCTTCGCGACCCTCGGAACCTTTGCGTAACACTTGGTTACTGGCCCTTGTGATGAGACTATGTATAGCCTCGTGTTGTACCCAGGTGAATCAATCCATTCATTTCTCATTTCTGATGTCGATCTTATCGATCCTCACACTCTGCGCTGCTTTACCAGAGGACTTGGCGAGCATCATTCGGAGGTATCCCAAGGTTTTTGCGATGACCTTCTTGACGAGCTATTACCTGAGCGACTTGAAGTCCACAGGATCGAGCTAAAGCCCTTTTCACAACCAACTGTTCGGTCCCTGTGGCGGCTTAGCCAATCTGAGCTTGACGAGTTGCGGAAGCACTTGGATTATCTGCTTCCGAAGGGTTTTATCAGGCCGAACATGTCACCTTTTGCCGCCCTGGTACTGCTCACACCAAAGAAGGACAGAGTCATGCGCATGTGCATCGACTATCGAAAACTAAATCGGATCACTATCGAGTCGCGTTACTTGATTCTGGAGCGGACGACCTATTGGATAAGTTTTGTG